TGCAGCATCAGAAGACTAGCGATTGGAACCAGGAATGAGCTTCGGTGTCTGCACAGCACCGTGAAAGCTCGGCGCATGCAGAGTCAATAGCATGTGTCGGCTCCAGCAAGCGCGGGTTCTCCGCGCAGATGGAGGTTCACGGGTTCTGCACTTGATACCAAACCAGAAGGACTCTCTTGTCGGGAGCCTGGATTGGTAGCACAACCCATTGGAGCCGCGCAGCCAGTGGTGCCAGGAGGCTGGATGGAGCTGAGCGCTTTCAATGCATCAAAACGCACTTTTCAAAAAGATTGCCCATACTTCAAGCACACGCATTGGCTGGCTTTCCCAGATGCTTGAGACTTCAGCATGTAGCAATGGAAAGAAAAACATGGTTCACAGCATGATGGTCCAATGCATTTTGGTTGGCTCTTGCTGACATGCTTCAAGCGGTGTTGATTTCAGCTCACCCTGCCGTGCGCAGAAGCTGTGATACGGCAAGGTTGAGACATGGCACCTACCTAGCTTCAGCTGAGCAACATGCTAAAAACACGGCTGATTGTTACCTCAAGACCCCCTGTTATTAAGGGGGAGGGGGAGGAAAGTGTAGCATACATTTTTCACCTCCCCAAGATGATAAATATGGAAAATGTAGAGCTTCATATGTCAGATGCCTAAATGAAAACATGCGGAAGGCAGGAGCGGCTGCTCATGAAAGTAAACTGGAAAGTGACTTGTTTTTTGGTTCCTTTGTGCAAATTCGTGCGGTCTCCTTCACCAGGCCAACTGTCTTGCTGTGCGTTTGCCTTCTGGCCTCAGGGGCTTCCTTGAAGCCAAAAAAGTTGCCTGCTTCAGAACAGGTACATGACAATTCCTGGCACACGCATGCATACGCCGCCTCATATCTCTCTCCTCTCAAGCAGACATTGATAGAAAGAGACATCCCGAAACTTCTTGAAAGGGCATAAGCATGTGCAGGCAGGTGGTGTAGCAGACGATATTACGTCTTAGCCATAGCACCCCCCACCCCCTCCACCGTCCCGTTGAAGTTCCGCGAAATCCGACAAATGCAGGAAAAACCCTCCTACATTTATGTACCAAGCCTTCATCCTACGTTTATCAATTGCGGGGGGAAACCTCAACGTGAACTCATCGCAGCTCTTGCAGACTTGGCCTCTTGCTGGCTGCCTGCCTTGCAGCAGCATCGAAAATTGTCAACTGCAGCCGGATAATACAGCGAGATCGCAGCCTGAAACTCAAGCACCGCAGCAGATTCCTTTGAGTTGCAAGGCCCTTGGTACAAGATCCGCGGACAAGCGCGCTCAAAGAAGGCATGGATCTCCGTCAAGTGTGATGATGCCTCTTTCAGAATGTTAACGGGATTTCTGACAGAGCGGAACAACACCTTGTAGCAGGCCTTGTAGCAGCGCACGGAACTTGAAACAAGGCCGTGCCTCAAAATTCCCGAGGCTTCTTTGAACTGCAAGGCCATCGATGGCATCTGGCAGCTGCACGGGAGCAATTGGTAAAGGCGCCTGGATCAATGACGATTGCTGATGATGCTCGGCGTACACTGCAGTGTCAGTAGAAGCAACAAAGACCACTGTTTGTGAAGCCAGTCCAGGGCAGCTCATGTGGGCTTTTGCTCTCTGAAAGCAGGACGCCGTGGTTTTCGTTCGTTCTGCCTTGCAGCGAAATCAAAAGCTGGAACGGAAGCCCGAGCATGCCGCATGGGACGGTTGCGACCCAAGACCAACAGCTGGCAGGGAGCTTCATTGAGCTGTGCAGACATCTGGCATCTTTGGCTTCTGTGCAGCTGGCTGCGAGACGCCACGGTGCTCCAGAACGGACTGCTGGCAGCTTGCAGCTGCCTCCTTACCTTGCAGGCACATCAACACCTGCAAGTGGCTGCTGAGACATGCTTGGCAGGTCTATGGTTTTCAAGGCTGCATCCTCTAGGCTTTCTGAGCGTTGGTTTACGTTGGCTGTCGCATAATGCTGCGGCCATTTTTTGGTAGCGCTCCCGCTCTCATGAAGATGACATCGACGACTTCGAGCAGTTTAAGTTCGCAGAGGTTCTGCAGCCAAGGCAACCCTACACTCTGAACTCTGACTTGGGCAATTTTGAACTCCATCGCTTTACTGTTGATAACTGCAAGTCCTGACTGCTTCGGCCGTCTGCCATGACATGCCAAAGGACCCACATTCTAAAGCTAGAGCATCCATTTGGAGCGTACCTGAAAGTTGGGGCTCGCGTGCGGTAGAACTGGTGAGATGATATAACCAAAGCCGCGACAGGCAGTGGTAACCCTAAAGTAGCAGTCATTCAAGCTGTTGGAGAAGGAGTGGGCTGCATGGAGCTAACTGGGCTTCGGAAGAATCCAGCGAAACTGCGGCGTCCTCGCTGATGCACTTGGAAAGACATCGTGTCAGAGCCCCAAGGCATCGCACTGAGCTCGGTGAACTTCCCCTTCCTGCTGTGTTTCCCTCGTCACGTTCATGAGATTCATGAGCACAGTTCGACAAGATCTTGCAGCTCACGCAACCAAGCCCGCGAAAGCCCATTGGGTTGCGTTTTTTTGCCAGGCCAAACCAGAAGAAATGCTCATGAAGCGGCTACAACCTGCTGCTCGCATGTGCTGCACAAGCTCTCTAGGCCACGCTGTCCTTGCGCCCTCCATAAACTGAAGCACAAAACGGCACAGCCAAGAAAGGCGGTTGTGGGCTCAGCCGCTGCTTTCCTGACATTAGAATGTACAAGGCAACTGTGGCCATACTGCCACAGGCAGGCACCAACAGCACTTTCTGGAAGAGGGTGAAGTGCGGCTGGAGGTCGTCAAGCAAAAAGATATTCTCCCTGCTTCACCCCCCCTCAAAGCGGGGAGTTGCAGGCTACAAGCCTTGCAGCTTTCCTGCACCTTTGGGAGCAAGTTCAGGCTCAAAGTGGCACGGCGCTCCTTGAGAAATCCTGGGGAGTCCTCAGAGTGCTCCGCTTCGGAAGCCCACTCCTTCAGCTGAAGGAATGTAAGTATTGTGTCACGTCCTTCAATGTTGTCTTTCACAGAGCTTGGACAGCCCGAGTGCTCAAGCTAAGCTGAAAGGTCATTGGACAACATGGATAGCAGACCGCAAAGAGCTTGCTGCAGTCGCAGCGCCTCGCCTACTTAGAACAATCAGAGAGACCACTTGAAGCGTCAGGAGCCTAGGGCGTTGGCTCGGGATGGCTCGGGTGCTTGGGCACGCCTTCACCCGGAAGAAGGTGGCCACTGCAGAGTCAGCAGTGCCAAACATGTAGTCACAGAGCTGTGAGACGTGTGAGATGGTGGTGCAAAGTGGCCTAGGCCTATGCTCTCTCGAAGCTTCCAGTTTCCTCAAGAAAAAATGCACAGCCAGGGTTAAGGGACCGTGGGTGGCTTGCAAGCTACTCTGGAAACCGCGGACACATGGGGAAGAGCTGTCACTTCGCTAGGCGGTGGATCAGTGAAACCCGTTTCGTTTTCACAATGCGACACGTGTCATCAACGAAGGGCACGGCCACGGGAGCATGGCAATGAAAATGACACAAAGGACTTCATGCTCTTATCGACCCTTACTACATCAGAAAGAAAATTCATTCGTAGATGCATCCAAAGAGATCTTCCCAGTGCGATGTTGGGCTTCAGAGCCGTTATCCGGAACCTCACCTTCGGGAAACTTCGGTTGCTTCGGATGAGTTGTCTTAGCACCCGTTTCAAAACGCTTAAGCGCCTGGGTCGATTCAAACCCATGCCGTCGGATACACCTCTGCATCCCTCTGCGCCCCAGATGCATGATTTCACTGACAGCTCTTGAGGCGAGATCTCTCCTTGCCACTTGCAAAACTTTTGGTGTCAATCGTACAACTCAGTGCACCATGTTTCGCGGGCTTTTCAAAGCAGTGGTCACAGCTCGCCTCTCGGCAGAGGAACCTGCAACAGGTAGAACAGCTGCCTCGTCACGTTACAGCTGCTGAATGGCCCAGCCTGACGTTGCGACATCCAGGTGCGACACCCAGACTTCATCCATCAGCCACGCGGGATCGTGCAGTCCAACGCATCCTGGAAGTGCGCAGGTCGGCAAAAGGGATTACAGGAGAGGGGAGCAAGAAAGCAGCAGAAATTCACGAGTCAGCCCAAAGATTGAATGCGGGGTGTCTACAAGGATGGCCTAATGGGCCTAATAAAGCAAGCCTACTTTGAGAAGATAATTCGGAAGGGGTAACAACTCCATGACCGTGGCATGCCAATCCAACTAGGTATTGATGCGAACATTCCTGATGTGAGGGAACTAATACTCCTAAACAAAAGAGGCTTTGAATCTGAAAAGTTGAGGTATTTTCGAATAGTTAGAGAAGAAAAAGGGAGCGAGAGTACATGGGCCGCAGTTTGGGCAGCAGCGGCACCTGCAGGAAGGGACCAACTGGGTCGATCTTGCACCTGGCAATGACACATGATGTTACGTGTCTTTGCCGCAAAACAGCCGGAGTTGCTCTTGTACAGTCTCCCCCTGCTCCGTTCACATGCTCAAGCTCCCAAGCCTGCTTTGTAGTAGAAGACTTGACAGCAGCTGTCCTGCCAGCCCTAGCTGCCTGAGCTGGAAACAGTTGATCCGGGCACTGAGCAACCAACACGCAAGCCGCTGCGAAAAAGCTGGTAAATCCAGGTCCGTCCCATGTCGCTGAGTTCGGAACCAGGTTTGGGGATGTGGCGCATCCATTGCGTCCATCGCCTTCACTTGAGCCTGAAACAACTCCAGGTCGGAAGACAGAAAAATAAGTGCAATAGCTTTCCGTGCCACTGCATAATCGTTCTACATCGTTCTGCTACGTACTTGAAAATTAGCCAGATCACCGCAGAATGGTGGCACAAGAGCTGGAGTCTGTGAATCTAGCGATTGCCAGCATAAAGGGTTGATCAAGATCAGACAACCGATTTACTTGTAGATCCATGCTCCGCAATTGCAAGTCCCTGCTGCTCACGCTTTTGCTCGCCCACTCAAGCTGGCTAGTCAGCCTTGGTCTGAACTGGACTAGCCTGCTCGAACAAGTATCGGCACAACCTTTGTTGCTGGACGATCTCCCGTAGAGCTTGCTGATTCCAAGCATCCTTCGGCGAGTACTCGAAGCTGAGCTGGACCATCCTGTCCAAAGCCTTCTGCAGGTCTTCGCCAATCGGAAAGTTTGCAAAGTACAGGACCCGGCTTTGATGTCCAAGGCACTCTTTGCGTACAAACTTCTGCAGGCTCCTGGGCACCTGGGACAAAGAGCCGAACTGTAGGATCTTGTAAGGAAACTTCCAGAGGTCCTCCTCTGGCAAGTAGTGTTTGGCATTTGCCGGCGAATAAATCAACGGATCCATGAAGCCTGCCTCCCGCTGCTGCGCCACACCAGTCATGCACCACCACCGGGGCATCTGAGGAGCAAAAACATTGCGGGGCACCAGGAACATGGGACAGCATGACCATGGTGGCACTTCCCCATACCAAACGTCCACCATGGCCAGAGACACAAAAAGAGAAGCTACCGTGTACCTGGGCTTGCTACGGCTGCCGCACATGTCAGCAAGTAAAGCAGCCTATTTCCTCATATTGTGAAGCCAAGCGGCAAGAAACAAATGGTGAGGCCAACATCATGGCTGCCTATGCTTGCAGCACCACGCTGCATCGATTCCCACGTGGTTTGCACAGATACAGGTCCCGGCATCGCAAACAGCAGAATCACCGGGCACCACTGCGACAGGAAGTCGAAGCCCTGCAAGAAGTACACACCTCGCGGCAGCATGCGGCAGCTTGAGGTTGCCAAAAGCCGCAGTCAAAAACATTACGGTTTTTTGGACCCTGCCTGTATGGAAGCCGAGAGCAGCAAAGGCAAAGGCAACGCCAGCAGTCTGCGAGGTCAACGCCAATGGAAAGAAGACCTCGAAAAGTAGCGAGAGCGTACCTGCCAACACCTCAGCACTGCCGGCTTTTCTTTCAAAACAATTTGCAGAAGGCACAACTTAAGCATCTAAGAATCCTTGCGACTGGGTGGCAAGTATTCTAGGGGACTGCACCGCAAAAGCCTGCAAAAGCCAGGTGAACTCTCCACCAGGTCGTGACCACATGGCATCAAATGTATAGGCTTGTAGTGTTGTACCATTCCCCCAGAATTGGCGGAAGTAGACTGAGCCTGCCAGTTTGCAGAGGCCGGAGCCGCAGTAGGTACCTGCCACTTGCAACTTGATGAAGTCCAGCGCCCACCAGGCATCTCTAGCATCCCAGGTGTGTGCGTCGTCGATGCTTGGAGAAAGTGCCAGCATCAGAAGGGTGCCTGGGATCAAAGTGCTCCCATGACCACCGGCTTTGGTGGCACAGAAGATCTGGGAGTAGTAGAAGAACCAAGAAATAAACGCAACAGTCAGACAGCTGCGGGGGGCCGAGCTTGCGCAGGAGCCCAGGAGGCTGAGGCAAAGCAGGGCGCAAACAGCGTCATGTTGATTTGGGCTCAGCCACGGGGCAGGTAGCAAGCCATAGATCCTCTCGCCCGCATGGCCCAGGCCCCTCCGCTGGCTGGGCCGGATCCCAGAACTCTGGAACCAGCGGTAGAAGCTACGATGCCCCTCCAGGTGGTTCCAGCAAAGGCTCACCGCAACAAAGCCGCAGTAGAAGCACTGGAAGGTCCGGGCAGGGTTCAGGACAAAGGGCCTCCAAAGAATCCTTACCAGCAAGAGCACCAAAACAGAGAACCACAGCACCGGGGCCCCAAGGTTCCTCCCTCGGTGGAGGATCACTGTTTCCGCCGTCTGCTTCCCGCCATTCATGGCAAACCCTGAGGGCTGAAACTCGTTGCCTGGCATGCAAAGTTTACCCCTGGCCTGACTACAACATCTGAGTTGTTTTGCCGACCATGTGCTACACGCCGTGTGTTTGCTCCTCATGTTTCTTCCTAGCTACTGCACTGAGAGAAAACCCCACCACACGTAAACTGGCGCAGGCCTTGCCATGAAAGGGATGGCAACTCGTTCAATCATGCTGCAAAGTCATCGCATCGACCCGCTGGATTTTTGTTTGCATTAGTCTTCCGCTCTCCTGCCGACTACCTGACATTTGGGATGCAGTCTTGCTATGTAACCTTGTGTAGGGCATAGTGATGCTCAAGAAGAGCCGACACAATCAAGATGAGGTGTTGAACAAATCGTGCACAAAGAAGCAGATCAAGGCCTACTCCAAACTGGAGACCACCGGCAGGGAGAAGTCAAACTTCACAGGTCCCGGCGGCCTGAGCTGCCTTGCACAATTGCCCTCCACATATCAAGTTCGGTTGTGAAACTGAATTAATGACAGAAGGAGTTATGCGCCGGAGCGAGCACGAAAAAAGTTCAGCACACGGGCAGCAGTGGCCAGCTTTTTAAAAGAGCTGCTATACTTGATCAAAACCTTTGAATGTCTTGTTACATTGTGGAACTTTCGATGGCCACCCCTGCCGGCGCGCAACGTCCAGTTAAGGAATGACACAGATTGGAACCTCCTTCGGTTCACTAGCTCCTCCTGAGCCCAAGGTGCCAACCCGGTTGGCGCAAAATGCGACTTCTCACAAACCTCTTTGAGGCGCCAGTCTGGGTCTCTCACATCAGCTTCTGATATTCGAAGACAGGATAAATCTCTGTTTATGACCTCAGCTCTATCTGAAAAAGCTTGCGGGGTCTACTACGAATGCATTTGACAGCTGCTATCTGCTGTGTCTACCAGTAGCCGCCTGGGAATTTCTCCTATTCCCCAGTCTTCTGACATGATGCTGTGGAGCACTGCACTCACATGAATGCTCAACATTCAAGACAATGTGCCGCTGAGAGGCAGTTAGAAGAGGCAGTGACCAACAAGCAAGCCCAAGACTGCAAGCCAAATCTCCAGTTGAAGCAAGCTGGATGCACTCTTGACCTTCAGGTCCATGGCCTGTCAGCCACTCATGTGGAAACAGCTAATACGCAGGATCCATGCATGAACTGGCTATCACTCCACTTTGCTGTGCCTTGGACATTCCTTCGAAGATGTTCCGGAACTCAAAGGCCGACATGCCCCAAACGCAGCAAATGGCCATTGGCATGAGGACCCATTCGAGAACACTGCTCCGCACTGTCAACTCAGGATGTGTGTACGCATCTGTCAGCAAAGCTGCGAGCACCGCTGGGAAAAGAACCAGTCGACAACAGATGTACGCGAGCGTGAGGCAAGCAGAGTTCAGCTTGTAAAGGACTGTCTGCTTCAAGCGCTGTACATCGCCGCAGCACTTCACTAGCTCCACATTGGCCAAGAAAATGTTACTGGACTCGCAGAGCCCTGCTATTGCACCCCAGAAGTGCATACTGCCTTTCACAAGTCCAGTACCATACACCAAAATTACCATGACGTGGTGCACGAGGATCCGCTTTCGAGTTGCGTTCATGCCCTTCCAGAACAGGAATGGGATGTGAATGAAAAGCCTTGTGCAAAGCAACACGCAGCCATGGATGGACGAAAGGCAAGTCCCGTTCCAGCGTGCATCGACGCTTTGGGAGAGGATGTGGATGGATCCAAAGGCACTTGGTAACCTCGGCTATGTTTAGAAACCAGAAACCAGCCGCACGAAGCTCCCGCACATCAGAAATCCAGCACTGAATGTATAGCCTAGGAACAAAGCAACACTGAAGAGGAGCAAGCAGATCGCATCCGCAGCCCACAGATCTCCCCCGGGTTCACCGCGAGCTTGCTTCAGGTCCCGCGACCTGGGAAACAAAATCCATGCCACAGGGATTGCGATCACCTGCGCGACCGTGCAAATCGCAAGGTAGACCAACACAAGCTGCCAAAAGCTGGCGAGATCCAGGTCATACCGGGGAGTTTGCACCGCCTCCATCCTCCAGTAACAAAAGTCTCCCTTTCGATTGAGCCATTCTGCATGCCCACATATGCCACCATTATCAACGATCGCAAATCTGATGACTGGCTGGCTAAGACTATCAGCTGAAAATTGGCGATGTTTGGCTTCAGCGATGCGTCTGCTTGTGGAGTGAGATGCTGCGGCTTCCCACAACTACCTATGTACAGGCCCATTGTTGGACAGTGAAACTCCTCGAAGGTTAGTTTATGTTAGTTAAAACGGACATGTGGCAAAGGCAAACGTTTCCGCATCAGCTTGGAGCATCATTTGGCTGGCCTGGACACCGGGGCCCTTTGTGTCAGCCTTCCTACCCATTTGATCTAAATTGCAGCGCCCTTTGAATTCGACATGATGCAGTCACAGGAATCGAAAACTAAGTGACTGGATGCATTGACCTTTGGAGAGCTCAGCGCGCAGCTCTGCTGCAGCGTCTGCCGGATCATCTCGACCTCAAGTACGTCAGATGTGGCATCTTCCAGCTTCGCTGAGAGCGCATCGACATTTGTGGATTCGCGGAGCTCGGAGCTCGGAGCTCGGAGCTCGGAGCTCGGCCTGGCGGTGCCCGGGGCCCAGCGCTCGCTCAGCCAGGCGGAGGGCTCGCTTCAGCGCGGCGTCCTAAACGAGCCCAAACCACGTTCACCAAAAAAGGAACCAACCACATCCAACATCCAACCACATACCGTAATACCCTCTTCTCTTGTCGGAGGCTGCGGCCGCAGGCTGCCGCTGCCCAAGGTGGGCTCGACAGAGGGAGAGGTTGTAGAGAGTCAGCGCTACCTCAAAAAAGAAACACCGCATGTTTCCGCTTCCAGCCAGTTTCGGGCTTATTCCCTGCAAGGCAGCAGCAAAGGGTGCATCCGGACAGGCAGCGGCCAGAATAGCCAGGGCCTGAGCTGGGCTTATCAAAGCAGATGAAAAGCTAAACACAAGTTGTTAAAAGAAAGTCGGGCAAAGTCAGGCCTGCTCGAAATGTTCTGAGGCTTTCTGGTATGCCCCACGGGCAAAGTAGATGTTCCCCAGGTTGTTCAGGCCTCGAAACGTGTCTCTTCAGTTTCTTTGCTGAAGCTGAAGTTGAAGCACCAAGACCTATGCACCTGAGGCTCGGTCATTCTGCAACACTAGGATGCTCTTTACCTACAATCTCCTTCAAAAGCAAAATGGGTGTTTGGCTCACATCTTCAAAAGAAGGTCTGTAAGTATGTGGGACCTCCTAAAAAAGGTCAACAGGGCATGGACATTCAGCAAGAATTTGGCACCCATTCTGGAATCGAAGGACGCTTCACATGAGGACGCGATTCCCAGGAAAGCTCCATCTTAAGGCAGAATGCTATGATGCTCGTGCGAGACCTCGATTTTCATGCAAAATGCGAGTAGTATAGGTAATAATACAAATAGCAACAATAAGAATCCATAATCATATAATGATAACAAGGATAGCAACAATAAGAAAAATTGGATAGCAGGGGGTTGGGGGGGGCGCAGCCCCCATTGGCAAAAATGGCGGAAGATCAGAACATGTAGCTTCTTGCACGCTTTTGACGGAAACTCTTGGCAATACATTTGCATCACAATATGGGAATTGACATTTTCTGCAGACTCTCTGTTTGCAATTTTTTGAAAATCGCTACAATAATCAATACTTCTAAGAACATTAATGAAAGGCACAAGGAGTCAAGAAGCCCGAAAAGCACGCAGGCAGGAAAACGGAAAGGAAGAAGATAAGAAGCCAAGAAGCCAGGACGCGGCGACCAAAGTCCCCAAAAACAGTCCCTCCTGTTCTAATAGCAAGCAAAGGTCTAATGAGAGCTGAGAGGCGAGACCCCATCTGTTGCGGTGCAAGCTGCAAGAAATGCAAGAAAAAGAAAGGCGGCCTGTCCTTTCGCAGCTCGAGAGCGTGTTGATGCTGCTCCAGTGCCAAGTCGGCCTGCCTCAGGCTGACCAGCCTTCAGCTCCTGATACCCCAAAGCTCGGAAATGGCAGCCAAGGAGCCCTGCATCGTTGTAAGCCACACCCAAGCTACTGCAGACCTCGGAATTGCTGTGATGCTCATCTTAGTTCTGAAGCGATGGAACTCCACACCTCTGACGTAGTAAAGCGAGCATATGTCAATGCCTGCAATGCATGTGTCTATCCAGCTTCATGTTCCAAAAGCCGATACCTTCGTTGGTTTCTCCGCAGCAGAGACCGCACGCACTCTGATTGCATCCTGTCCACATTCAACAAAGCCATGTGCCAACATGTGCACTCGGCGTGCCTGCAGCAAATCTTTGGCACGCTGGTAGAAGGCGATCGCCTGGATGGGGCATTATAATGCGTGCGTCTCAACCAATGCTTATGCTTGAAAATATCGCAGTGAGTATTAAGGAATTTCCAAACAACAAGACGCACGCCTGCGTGCCATCCAGTGCGAATCAAAGCCATTTCCCATCTTTGAAGAGACTCTTACATGCTGGGAGAGCCGCGAAGACAAGGCCTTGCTCACACTGTTGGGCTGCCCAGACAGCGTACCACGAGCTTGTAAACTAAAGCCTCTCTCCCAACAGCCATCCTTCCATTGGGACGCCTCTGGATGTAAATCAGGGCGTCTCGAATGTAAAGATCTGCTCAGTGCTTAGTGGCAGATTGCAAACCCAAACACTGACGCGCTGCCATTCTGTTTTGCGAAGGAAAAACTGTGCCAAGGGCTTGCGGGCACGGGCAGAACCATGAGCGTAGTCAATCTTAGATTTGGGCAAAGCTTGCCCGAACGACTCCAGGGGAAAAATGAATAATTAACCAGAACCTCCACGATACTGCACGATACTTCCCGTTTCAAGGTTCTTGTGGAGGGAAATGAAGCAAGCACACCAGCCACGACCTCGAAATCTGGTGATACTGAAAGCGGCATTACAAAGGTGAACATTTACAAGCTGTCAAGGCACTTGTCTGCCTGTTGAAGCACATGTTCTGCGAGGAGCTGGCGACCACTAATGGCGAGATCAAGGGAGATCAGTCTGTACCTCACTACAAAATGTTCCTCGAATCCCTGCACAGCTTCACTGTATGATGCAGGGTCCATCATTTACTTGATCCATGTTCGTGTCAAAGGCATTTTCGCCAAATCATTGAAACAGTACGCCGTCGGTATCTCAGACTTTTTCGGGCGTCCCAGTCGGTGTTTAGCTTCCAAAGGAGCTCCAAGGTGCCTCTAAAGCTCACGGGGCTTAGAAGAAAATCAGGGATTTGCGGTGGTCGCCCCTGCTGTGGAGGACTATATTCTGCAAATCTGTTAACGAGTGGAGCAGGACCGAGGTATGAATGCCTGATGTAACAATATACTGAGAGCTGGGTCTTGAGCTGAGACGTCGTTGGAGCGTCATGCGTTCAAAGAATGTCCATGTCCAAAATCATCGCTGAGAGGGCAACTTTTGCAAATGACATTTCATGACCTGAAATGTCGGTGATTATCTGACTTGTGATGTGTTGTTGAAGTTGATGGCTATTGCCTAAGGCAGTCCTGCAGTTCTGGAGTTCCGGGGTGTAACGAACCATTGTGAATCTAGACAGTCACAAATTTGAAATCCTGCTTGAACGTTGGCAGCAGCTAATGCATTCGCTTAACAGCTCTTACCAGGCCCTTACCAGGCTGGTTATTTCCTGGAGTTAGTCAGGGCCCTGCCAATATGCTCTAGAAAGCAAACCAAAAGATGGTGTGACAAAGCTCACTGGCATCCTGACAGCAAGCCTTCAAGCTTCTGTTCTTGCGTTGCATGTTCGGGACCAGTGTTGCGCAACACGTGGCGATGCACCCAACATAAAGGAAATTCGTACGGTACCCAGGGGAGTGGCACAAAAATGCTTTCTGAACGTCTTCACACTGATAGTCAAGCTTCTCTTCTCCCAGCACCTGCATCTCTGGGAAAAACAGTCTATGACGCCAGACATGCTCACCCCATTCGGCTATTCTGATTGGTGGCTCAAAGCAGCAATTGGCTCCGGTACATACTGAAAACAATCTTCTCTATGGTTTTACACCGCATTCAAGCACTTGAATGCGCTCATGCAACCTAGCCGAAGCTAGGGAGAGCGTGTGGAAGTGCTGACTGGGATAGATCTGGAATCCTCCACTCAGTGAGTTTGCACAGCGACCAGCTCCTCAAAACCGTGCCTGTATGCATGCCAGTGAACAGAAAGTTTGTGGGGGCGTGCATTGCATGCATAACGTTCACGTGTCCAAATTTGTGGTGGTCGCGAGCTAACGATTTGAACAACAGCCACGCCATTGCAAGCGTGGAAAGGTCCTCTTCCATCTTTGCATGAAGTGCTTCGGAAGTGCAAAGGTCTGCGAATGCAGCCTGGTCTCCTCTATCACTTGTTGTTTTGATGTGATGCCGTGAAAGCTGAGACTGCTTTAAATGTGCTGACTTCTGAGGTGCTCCAGCACTCGGCCTCTGCAGGGTCCCCGAGTTGGTGGTGCTGGCGTCCAACCTGAGCACAGACCCAAAAAGGCTTCGAAACAGATGCGGAGAATTCCGTGGAGCTTTGCGCTCCGTGCCTCGTGGAGGCTCATAGCCAGGCCCATTCCCTTTGCCGTTTTTGGCAGCTCTTCCTCCTTGACTTCACTTCCACACCACTTCCACACCATTTCACACTGCCTTCCTTCAAACCCTCTCATGATTCTTATGGCGTCCTCAGCCTCGTACTCAGCCTCCTGAACTTGCAGAGTCTCCTGAAAACATGCATCATGTGAGATGCAGAGCTGACAGCTTGAGCTGGGTCCTGGAGATAGGCAAGGCCCGTGGCTGCTCTGCCCACATCGGCCCCCAGGGTTTCGAACTTCCCCAGATCTTGGCCAAAGCAGAAGTTGATAGGAACCAACTTCTCTTAAACAGGATTCCTGGTGCAAGAAAACACCTTCTGAGCTTCAGTCTGATGTAGGTGTTCGAGGAGGTCGAAGCGTTTGAGGCGCTCGAAGGCACTCCGGAAGAGGACCTGATTTCACGAAGAATGAGAAACATGGCATCTTCCGAGCTGGGCTCCCAACGAAGCCACTTCCCGGCAAGCAGCGGCACCACGCCGCGGAGCGGGCAAAGCGCGCAGAGCTCGGAGAGCTCGGGCGGCTCGGAAGGGCTGGGCCTCTAGCTTCGGAGCTTTTGAGCTTCGGAGCTGCATTCCTACCCAAGGGCAGCCTGCGTCAGGCGCAAGTCAATCCCGGAGCGCCAGAAACGGCCAAGGAGCATGTGTGACAGCTGATGTGTGAGTCTGCGTGAGTAAAATTTTCAGGGTGGAGTGAGAGCATCCTTGTGGCTCGTTGATACGAAATCTGTTGCATGCATCCAATTTGCTGGCAATCCGAGCTGAACGCATGCCAAAACTGAAAAGCTCCTTAAGCACTGTACGAGGCGGACTGCTTCATTTTGCTGTCGTCTCTGCATGATGACATGGAGGATAAAGTGTGAGGTGAGACATGAGATGTAACAGATGCTGTCAGGCGGTCCATTCCTCCATAGGACGACCCTCCGCAATGGCCTTCCGGATCATGGCCTGCAAATTTGCCTGGCTCAGCACATTATGTGACAGCAAGTGTGGGTCATAGGACACGCAAAACTTCGCCTGCAGTTCGCGCCGTACCCGCTCAGCCCCAGATTGGAGGGCTTCGGCGGCAGCCTTACCATGTAGCCCAATGGCCTCTGGGCAGCCTTCACCCCGCTCCGGAGCTTCCATTCCTTGGTCAATGGCAAGTTTCGCAGGTATCCCGTTTACTGTTTGCACCCCAGCAAACGAGAAGAACGGCAAACAAGGGGTGTGGGACGTGTGGGTGCATGTGTGCACGTGTGGCAGGCAGCCCAGACACCTTTCGGCTGCGGAACAAACGGCTTGGGATCGCGAGGGGCCCCTCGCTCCTCCTCCTTTCCTTTCCCGGCCCCCTTCCGACCATCGCCTCGTCCTCGTTCTGAGCGCTCACGGCTGTCTCGTCTCCTGTCCTCTCTTCGTTCATCCCGCCGGTCATCTCGACGGTCATCCCGCCGGTCATCTCGACGGTCGTCCCGGCGATCCTCCCTTCGTTCATCTCTACGGTCTTCCCGGCGGTCATCCCGGCGGTCATCCCGACGGTCGTCCCGGCCAGGGCGGCCCTCCCGACCATCACGCATCTCCCGGTCATAGCGCCCATCACGTCCAGCTTCGCGTCGGTTATCGCGACGGCTGGAACGCTCGCGACGGTCTCGGTCCTCCTCTGGCCGGGTGCCTCCGCGTTCCTTGCCCTCTTTGCCTTCGTTCTGCATTCGCTCCAGGTAGCTGCCCTTGCCGGGTTTCCCTGGCGGACCAAGCGGCTCTCCATTAGCCATCTTCTTCATAATCATCATGGCAGTGGCAGACGGCTTGCCAGAACACTCAAAATGCCTTTCCAGGTCATAGTAGTACTCGTCCTTCTTCTCTTCCGAACATCTAGCCAGGATATCCGAAATGCTCGTCTCTGCTATCTTGTCCAACTTGAATTTGTCGACGAGGTGCTTCATCCTTTTGTCGCGATTCACTGCAACGAAGGTGCCATCTTCAATCTCTTTCATCTTCGTGACCAACATTCCGCATGGCGACCGGGCCTTCTCCATGACTTCTCTCAGCTTCCTCAAATCCTCGTCCCATGTATCCAGCCGATACTTCATGAGCTCATTCAGCTTCTCAATGTGCCGTGTCTCGACATAGAATGCGTCACACAGCTCTTGTATGTCTGGGTGGATCCGGCCATGCTCAGAGATGTAGTCCTGTTGAGTATCGCCTCTCTTGGAAACTCCACATCTCCAACAGTTGAACCTGCAATCTTGAGCGCTGCACACGCTCGCGGAAATGCTGCCACACTCAGAAAAACAACCGACCTGGACGCGTAGACGTTAGCTTCGCATCGTGGACATGTCCAATCGCCAGGCTTCAGTCCAGGCTTGATCTCCCACTTCTTGCCAGCATCATTGCCTGAACCAAAACAATGAAAAGAACAACACTGGAACTCGCTCGGCTGAGAATACGTGAGTGCTGCCTGCGGCTGCTTCTCCAGTTGGAGGGTTGGAGGCTGATGGTGTCTGGGCATGCAAAGCCATCTGCGCCATGAGCGGGTTTCCTGAAGATAGACAGCAGTCCACTTCTCTTGCAGCATGCAATCATCAATGATACAGGAAGGTGTCCACCCATCATCGCCATGTTCATGGGGTTGATTGCGGGCTTGGGCGCATTCTGCAACCTTGGCACAGAACTCTTTGCTGACAGCACGGTGAGGCACCCTGCCATGGGACATTGGGTTGGTCGGACTTGTCATGGCCATCATCGCTTGGAGACGTTGGAACCTTATGTCGGCAAACTTGCCATCATCTTTTCAGCATGCTTAAGTCAAGCCAAGCGACGTGCTGCGGATGTCCTGCATGGAGCCGCCATCCCCATCCTCAGCATCCTTGGTGATCTTCTGCTTCCGACCCATGGCGACCAAAGGAGAAGTTGCAACCACTCCCTGATCCTCTGTGCCTAGCAAAGCAAAGCAAATGAGCTACTGCAGCTACTGTTTTGTCCCTCCAGATTTACTGCTGTCGTTCCTTCGGAGCAACCACCAAGCACACAGCTTGCAAACAGTTTGCAGGGAATGACACATTTGAGTCATTTGAGCAGTTGTGCTTCTTTTGACGTGAGAACATCAAGGTCTGTCTCCGGCATCAAAAGATGTCAAGGCCTCCACTGCATGTGACATCATGTGACACACGGGCGTAAACTCAGGGCTCTGCCAAGCTTGGTACGCCCATGCAGGCCGTTACACCAAATCCGACTCAGTATCCATGCGCGAGGCCATGACCTTTTGCTTGCCTTGTTTCAAGCTGCGTCTTGCAGCTGCATCCTGCTATGGAGCTGCGCACAAGCAGAAGGCGCAGCCTAGTGACTCTGCAACAGTCTGCGGGCTTGCGCAGAGCTTGCGCGGTGCTTGCGCAGGTTGCATGGCAACGGCGTCATAGAAGAGTTTTTAAAGTTTGCCCAAACCCGGTGCAAAAACAGCTCCTACATGCGGCGGCCTCTCACACTGGCAGTCGACGCTGATCGTAGATCAGGCTGCAGTGGTCGCGTGATAAAGCATCACAGTCACAGAGAACACAGAGACATCAGAAACCGCTTTCATCCATTCAAGCGCCCAGCTTGCACAGCGATGACAGCGGCCACATATTCAAGACGGTAGCTGCTCCTGGCACACTTTTGCAGCAGCAGCAACAAATCGGCTTTCTCGTGGTGCTTTCTATGAAGCATGTGTTAAGGGGTACTGCCTGGAACCGTCATCTTCAGAGAGGCCAAGACATTGGGCAAGAAGGCGGCAAAAAGCTTCCAGATGCCGTACCTCAGGCGGCTTACCCCAGTGAAATATTGCTCGCAAGACAATGGTTTGATTCTGGAGCAAATCATCTACCTGGGCATAGGTGTGGATACTCTCCTGAACTGAGGAGCAGGCATCTCTGTAATGAAGCCGACAAAAGGCCAGCCCACAACGATGATGGCAATGCCCAGAAAGTATCTCGGCAAGACGCAAAACCATCGTCACATGAGAGCTATCAGCTACCTACCATGCTTCCATTTGACTTGACCTTTGGCTCCCAGCCCGGTGGTGCCCTTCCACTTCTCTTTCCGAAAGAAAAACTTGAAAGCCTCAAGGAAAAAACGCTTTCAGTGGCAGGTCTTCACGTCCTCGGTTCCCTGCCTTTGTTGGGCCCAAGAGGAGAGCAAGCCCAACCAGGAAGGCAACGTTCCTGGCGTGAGCTGTGCAAATCGCTGTTAAATGGCAATAGCCGCAGCATAAGCAGAGCCAGGCCGCACCCTAGCGCCAGCAGGGTGCGATCAAAGAGCAAGAAGACACCAAGCGTCACAAACAGCACCCCGATACCACATAGGCCTCAAACTGCAAATAAAGCAAGTGGCTTCTGGCTAAACATCTCAGATTGAAAATTTCAAGTTCCAAACGCTGATGGAGTCAAGCATACATACCTTCCTCTGCTCTTTCTCAGAAGCGCTCACTGGTCCGATCCATCCTCAGCTGACACAGCACCACGAGAGCCATGGAGCATTTCCGCTGGAAAATGCTCGGTGGCTTGTTCTCGGGCCACTGTGACATCCCAGGAGGCAGGGTCAGACCGGTACTTGACGTGGCTGCATTACACCAGACCTCTGACATGATCACTTACTTCCCGTACAGTAAGTCTACAATTCTACTTGCAAAAACCAGATCTAGAGGTTGCGCATGCCACGTCAGAGGAGACCACCCCAATTGGCCGGCATGGAAATGCCCCACAAAATTTAGAAACTTAGTCCATCTTTAGTGGGACGGAACGCACACTCGTGGCAGTTGCACGACTCGATCGTTTCGCATTTGCACATGTCACTGATGTCACTGTTGATGTTCTCCTTGCCAGCCGCATTAACCGCGTCGCATCGTCTCAGTTCGTCTCCGGTGTCCTCCTTGCCTCGGTCCGTCGGTCTCAGTGCTTTGACTTGAGCGCTTGGGCGTGGGCCCAGTGTGAGCCCGGGATTGCGTGACAAGTGCCTGCCAGGTCTGACCGGGCACGCTGGAAGTGCCGAAGGCCTTGGCCGAGCAGAATCATCCCGAGAAGCAAGCTTGGAGGTGGATTGAGCTGGCAGCTTGGAAGATCATTCTGGCTCAGGAACTGAGGATATCCCATGTCCTTTTCACCTCAGCACATCATTCGGAACCTTGAGCTTGGGGACCTGATGCGCATTGGCTTGGTGCCCGACGGCCCTCGTGGCTCACCTCGTTCGAAATGCTATTTAACCACCTGCGCGGGAGCCAAACGAGAGAGTTTGTCCATCAGGCCATGAGCTAATTTCGGCGAGGGGGCCTGTTCAATCCGTCCTGGGGAAAGCCAAACGGTGATAATGGCCGAAAAACAACATGCCAAAGTCCTGCGCCACCGCAACCACGACCTCAGCGCCTTGCTGCATCTCCAGTTCCGAACGATGAATTGCTGGAAGAAACAAGCTTGGAAAGTTTGGAAATTCATTGCTAGATACTGCAATCAGTTTCAGGCCCTCTTTGCAGCGCCCACATGCAAATCCTCCATGCTAGCATCCATCAGTGCCGTGATGCTTCAGGTCGCAACAAGAAGTTCCCATGCGGGATGCGAGAGTCATGCAAAACTGCAAGAACGTCTGGCTGCCTCAAAGTCTTGTACTTCTGCCTCCCCTGTTGGCATTCTGAATGTGACGGTCTTGTTCATCCAGCTTCACTGGTGCATCTCAAGACAGGCAAGCGGGAAAATCTAAAGCAAGGCGACTTAGGTGCTGGGTCATCAACAGACACCAGGCAACGAATGTCCGGAAAGCATCAACACGGCAAGCAAAAGTTCAACGTGACCATAGCAACAGCACCATCCTTATATCGTAGATGCGAGAATCGCGCCCCCAACATCTGTTACACCATGGACACGTGGGGGCTTCGAAAGTAAAAGAACCACAGGCCGACGACCGTCTTCCATGCAATCTGTGTGGCAGCTGGCATTTTTGATACGCACAAAAATCTGAGGGCCCCAATGAGGACAGCTAGGATACCGACCCCAACCTGACAAAAAATCATGACGGTAATCAGGATGGAGATGCCGACCCCAAAAATCTCTCGAACAAACGACGAGCGAGCGCACCATGGCAACCCCAGACCACGCCATCGCAGTGACAGTGGAAACATACGCATCACACAGCGCGGACATGCGAAGGTCCAAAACCATCACCGTCTCTGGGATGGCGCCACGCAAACATCCAGACAGGTTGCCCTTGACAAGCGGCGTTCCAACTGCAAACCGGCCGTTAACTGCCGCCATCGCCGGGGTGAAACGCCATAGCGGGTAAGTTATCTGTGATGGCCAGATGCAGGCATTGAAATGTCGAAGTGCTAGGTTCTTTGACAAAGGACCTCTGTTAGCAGTTACAGCCTTGGAACGCTCGACTGTCCTCTGAAGATGCTTTTTGTCCCTGTGTCTAGGCCATAGATAAAAGCAAGCACCAGTGGAAACATGATCTTACTGGCATACTTGTTGTGTCAGCCGTCACACGTCTTGCGCTATCATCAGGCATCCTGCTCTGCATCCGACCACCCCAACGTTTAAGTGCATGAAGTCGGAACAAGAAAACCAAAGTTGTTCTCCACCACTTTTTGGCATCCCTCCCACACCCGCACGGAGCAGGTAAGGACCACTTGTTTCTCAAATCCTTGCTCAGGATGGGGGTGGTGCGAAGGTTGCAAGTGTTTTCTACCTCTGCTGCAACTCTAGCTCAATGCTTGCGAAAAAATCTTGGTTGTTGGAACATTGCAGGCTAAACGATCCATGATGACAAAACGCATAGGGCCCAAACTGAGTGGGTACGTGAGCATCTCCTGCGGCACCATAAATGCCTCAGCGACTCTCAGACTCAGGCCTCTGGACAGATTTGCAGTGGATAAGCATGCGAAGCATGTCAGTAAGCCAGATAGTCTCAATGTTTCTTGGCGAATTGCCAGGCGCTGTTGCTCGCCAGCAACCGCGCTCAGAATTTCACAGGAATCTGGTCATATCCAGGAACGCACCAAGCGAATCTATCTGGCTTAATGTTGACTTCACCTTAAGAA